CACCAAGCCAAGGGTTGAGATCCCCTTACCGGTCATCTTTAAAAAAAAAAAAAAAATATGTGTGGTTAGAGAGGCTGGGCCTCAGAGTCCTATCATGTCTCTACATCAGTAACCAGACTTTGAAAGCATCCTCCCTCAGAGGAGTTCAGAGACCCAGACGAGCATAGCTAATTATCTCTGATTATCACAGAGCTATCTAGTCAGTCTACCTGTAGAAATTCAGGCATTTCATTATGGTCATTCTAATAAAAGTCTGTTCCCTTGAATATTTTATTGTCATTCAGTATGTATTTAAAGTCCACCGTCCAATACATGCTGATGTGTGTTACAGGTTAAGAGCTCTGTGTTCTTGGCTCTCTCTCATCATTAGGGATATAGTAAATTTTCAGCTTTCAGAATAACATTGCTGATGAGGTTTTATTGTGTGCCTGACCATAATGAAACACGAACAAAAAAACCTACTGTGGTTGAAACTGATGCAGCCAAAGTCTAGAGGTTGACTCTAGAGGTTGTCTGTGGATGTGTGTATACAATATACAATCTTGAAATCACAAAGTGGTTATCTGATTTTAAAAATATCATCTGCCTCTGGCTAAACGTTTGAGCAGCCACACAGTCTGTTGGAATGACAAACATGTCTGGACTACATCTCTGTGCCACCAAGCAACCTTCAGGGCCTTTTGCCCCAATATATTGAAGTTAGAAGACATCAGTTTCTTGCCTAGTTGTTCTACCTATCTCTGTGATGGTGACTTTTCTCCAAGGGCAAGATGCCTTTCATGTATGTGAACCTGACAAAACTTTTTAAAAGAGTGAGGCAAACCCTTTCACTCTCCTGAGGACAATGAATACCTTTTTTATCTGAGGATCCCTATTTTCCCTCCCTGCCAGGGGGATGTTAACACAGATTTTTTTTTTTGTAAATCATTTTCTCTGAAAGGCTCTCTGGTTGTTACTGGCAGCCTATTATCAAGTTCCCGCACAGAGAGGCCTGAGAGCTGCCGGGCTCACATGCCCCAAGCCAGTCATGCTGGAACAGGCAGGAGCCATGTGACCTCCAGCCCAAGTCAGTCCCGGCCGCCTAGAGAGGCCCAAGAGCTGCCAAGCCCCCATACACTGAGGTAGCCGCTCTGGAACAGGCAGAAACCATGAGAACCCCCAGCCCAGGCTAGTCACTGCTGCCCAGAATTGGCAGTCCCTTCAGGATCCAGGCCGGAAATCAGGGTGGAATGAATGGACCATGCATGATACCACCTGCCACAATGACTAAACACCAAAGGAAAGATACCAGAAATATGAAAAATCAAGAAAGTACATCACGGACGCTATTCAGAATAACCCAAAAAGTAGAAACAATGCAAATGCGACTTCCGGTCAAGATGGCGGAATAGACGGTTCCCAGCGTCACTCTCTCCCAAAAATCAACCAATTTACAAGTATAAAAACGTAACATCTGCCAAGCTGGGGCCGCTGGAGCTCAGGTGAAGAGGAGGAGAGACCTATAGAACTCATGAAGGTGAGAGAAACCATAAAGAGAGAAAGAAAAAACTGCTCTCAAGGCCGGCCCGTGGCTCACTTGGTAGAGTGCGGTGCTGATAACACCAAGGCCACGGGTTTGGATCCTATATAGGGATGGCCAGTTTGCTCACTGGCTGAGCATGGTGCTGACAACACCAAGTCAAGGGTTAAGATCCCCTTACCGGTCATCTTTAAAAAAAAAAGAAAGAAAAAGAAAAAACTGCTCTCAGCGTTTCCGGCTGCGGCCACTTTAATGCTGGAGCGCATGGAGCAGGAGCTGGCAGAATCCATAGCTGTGCCCTTTAGATGGATTTACTTAGAGACAGAAGGGGAGAAGAGGTCTTTGGTGCCGCCCAGGACAGCAAGACCACTAATAGGGTTCCCATGGACCCATGCAGGAGTGAGGAGCCAGAACAGCTGAAAAAGGGGAGCCACTCAGAAGCCAGTGAGTCATTGCAAGGGACTGGCACATGGCCCGTCCCATGGAAAGTGTTCAGAGCACGGGCAGTGGGAGAGACTGGCCTACCGGGAGAACACTGGGACACAGCAAGGACAGCTGATCTACACCCCAATCAGCACAGGACTGCTCAGAGGAGACTGGTTGGGAATGCAGAATTGCATGGGGTGCAGTTTGATGAAAAAACTCAGGCCCAGATCGGAGTTTCTATGCAACCCAGGTGCACCAGGTCTGTGGAGAGCTGGAAATACCTATAAAGTCAACCATTAAACCCTGAGCTGCACAAAAAGCTTTCCCTAGGGAAACAGCACCAAAGCTTCAATTTACCTCAACCACACAGCTGAAGTACTGGTTCCCACAGGAAGTTCCCCTGGGTTAGAAGCAAGCAAAAGACAAAAACTTAGTTCCGGCCCAGGCACACCACAAATGCCTTGGGGCCCACCAGGGGACATGAGGCATGAAAGCAGGGACAGGACCCCTGCCCACAACCACTCATACCAACAGCACCTTGGGGCGCTACCCAGGAACCTGAGGCTTGGAGCCAAGGACCGGACCCCACTCCCACATACAGGCATACTACCAATGCCTAGGGGTCTGTCCGGGGACCCAGAGCTAGCAGCCACTGACCGGACCCCCTTCTCACAACCAGGTATGCCATGACAGTGCATTAGGGACTGCCCGGGGACCCAAGGCATGGAGAATGGGACCAGACCCCCCTCCTAAAACCAGGCTCACCATGCCAGTGCCTCAGGACCTGCCCGGGGACCCAGGATAAGGAGCTGGGACCAGACCCACTGTCCCACAACCAGGCATGCCAGGACAGCATATCAGGTCCTGCCCAGGGGCCCAAGGCATAGAGAAAGGGATGGCACCCCCCCCACACACAACCAGGCACACC